TACTACAAACAATAGCAGCACTACAAATTGTTTGCCTTACGAACACATTACGAACACCCTAAGTGTTTGAACTCTTTCTTTCAGAAAATAAATGCAGCAAAATGCAGAGATTTATATCAGAGGATGGAGTACGAAATTTTTTTTTTTTCAATCCAAATGGGAGGCTAGCCTATTTATAGATGTAAAGGTGGCTATTGGTTTTGAATTGAACATGTATGAAACCTGTTGATTTTGAATTCAAACAGATTTGAATCTGTTGGGTTATATTTCAAACAGATAACAAAACGAGAAGGGCCCTGTTTGGGTGTGCAATAATACCAGACTGGTTTATTTAGGGAAGGGCCCTGTTTGGATGTACCGTAAAACCAAACCAGTTTAATTTTGAATTATGGATTTTATTTTACCAAAAAATAAAATTAAATTCAAATGTTTTTGGCCCAAAAAGATTAGTATTGGGCCGAACAAGCCCAACCTCACACCACGCACCCAGGCCCAGCCCGACCGGACGGACGGCGGCGCGTGTGTGGTGATTTTTGGATCCAATGGGTCTAGCCCATTTTGCCCATAACCTCTCCCTCTAAAACACTTGGGTACCCCTTGGGGCACACCCCAAGTATCTCACCCTAAGCCTTATAACCCCTTTCAAAACTCCCCACCAAATCAATGTGGGACAAGCCAATTTACAACCTTAAGGAATTTCCACCAAAACTCCATTTCCATGGAGCACACTTTGGTGAACCAAGCAGGATTGAATCGACGCATTACTCCACTAATGTCTCTTTGAGGGAAGCTATGGTTAAGAGGTTGGCAAGGACCTTTCTTTAAATATGCTCTTCTTATTTCATCTTGATTGTTAGGGTGATAAGATGAATTTTTTTGTCGTAGCCCTGGATCTGAAGGAAGACTATTCCCGTTCGCATGACTTTGCTTAGAAGAAATTTCTTGTGTAGGAATGAATCTTCTACTACTGTTGATTTTCTTTTAAGAAATTTGTCCATAGTGGTGGGACTAATGGAGGAAAAAATATATATTGTACATAAAACTACAACAAACCCAACAACTCATAAATCAATTAATGTGCAACCAAAAATTTCTAACAAAACAAACACAAGCAAAATTGATATTCTAACAAAAAAAGCCCTAAAATTTAATTTTTACCTCAAACATATGAGGAAGAAAAATAAAAAAAACATTGATGTTCTAACAACACATATACATATAGCATATGTATAATACATATATAGACAAGACAAATTAGTGAGCAAAAAAAGCCCTAATTTTTACCCCCGAAAAATTGTTGATTTGTTCCACCCAACCAAAACACTATAATACTAAAAAACAATTATGCAGGAGTTACCTTACATACACCGAGCAATCGATGTCATTGGAGAAAGAAAGTTGTTAATCTAAAATAAGAGAGTAATGGAGTCTATAGAGTGATCAACGAGAGAGCTTGGGTTCGCTGACTCATTTGAGAGTCTTGAGAGATACGATAAAGAGGGGCATTTGGGAACATACAAAAAAAGTTAAAAGATATTTTTTAACCTATTTTGGATCATATCACCTCTCACATAAAAAGGTCAAAAAATCAATTTTTAACCATCTTTTCAAAACACCCAGAGCAAGACTACAAACAAAATTATGTATAAAATAGTATAGAAGTTAGTTGCGTGCTCTCTCTCAAAACAAGACCACAAAAAACACTTTTTTACATATAAAATATTTGAACAACAAGTAGACAGACCATTAAAAAAAAAGTCAAAAAAAGTAACAACTTTTCATTGGTGGGTTCAAAAAAGTAATGGGTGTGAAAACTGGGTTCAAAGTAGTAGTTAGTAGACTCGATTGTTGACTTTTGTCATAAATTCTAATATCTATAAAATAAATAAAAAAAATTCATTGAGGGGCTTCAGGTGACACCCCTAAGCAAAGGATAGCATCGCCCTTGGTAGTCAATGCAACGTATGTAAGTATTCAATTCTCGTAAAATATGTTCCATGAACTTTTGTTTAACAATGGGTTTTCATTTTCATGAATTCAATAATTTAATAATATAATGAATATGGATTTTCGTCAACCCATTCTATCAATATCTACAACAATTCTATTCTGCACTAATGTCCAATACAATTTTCTCTAATAAATGATACAATTTCAATAATCATAAACAATCATTTCCAATTTCAACAAACTAACATAATTTCTTTTGACATAACATCACCAAATTTAATATAATACTACCAATATCTCATTTCGTACAATTTCACAAATTAAGGCTTTTTACAAAATTGAGACTTTCTCACTTTTAAGCACCCTTATTCAATTTTATACAATGAAAATAAGTTTAATAAGAAAATTATGGAGAATTACCCAATAAATTATCAAACCCTAACTCTCTAACATACCATTTCTCATCTCTTTACAAATATCCAATGTTTATCTAATAAAATAACCACACATCCATCCATAAATTCATGTTAAACAAATGAAAAGAAACCCTACCTCAAATGGAGAAGAAGAGAAATGCAAACTTTCAAAAATGCTTGAATCAACTATCGGATTGGATGATCTTGAAACCCTTGTCGAGCTTTATGACGTTAATACTCAGATCGGAAATCGATTCTCACTCTAAGGTGGTGAAATCCAAGCTTTTAATGGAGGTTTAATGGTGGAGTGAGAAGAGAGATATAGAGAGAGAATAAGTGATGTACAAATGTCTAAGGTCCCCACATATAATAGCAGCACAAAAGTAGCTTTGGGTCCCAAAAATCAGACCAAAAATGTAGCTTTCATGCACTAAGGTTGAATAGACCACTCGAGTGGTCTAAAGTTCGCTTGAGCGATGAATGATTGCCTATAGGACCTTTTTTCTTCTTTTTTGAAACAGACCGCTCAAGCAATAAGAAGTGCGCTCGAGTGGTGAATAGGTGCTTGCAGGATCTGAATTTTTGAAAATCAGAGTTGTCTAGGTCTATAGACCTCTCGAGTGGTCAAAAGTGCATTCAAGCGAATTACACTGACAACTTAGGTGCCTAAACTTCGAAAATCTCTTGTTCGAACTCTGTTTTGAGTCGTTCTTGTGTCTAAATCGAAATCCCAAAAATAAAATTTTCAATGGTTCTAGCCTCACATTAAGATTCAAAGTGTATAGAGAAAAAAGGACAAAAGAGTGAAGCCTACTAAAAACAAATGTTCGAATTTTGGAGTGTTTGGTCCAATCTTGCCTAGCCATCTTGCTAGCATATCAATCAAGATTCTAAACATCTAGAAGGATGTCTCAATTATAATAATTGAAAGTCAAATACAAACCTATCATTACCATCGAGTTTGGAAATAATATACTATTAAGTAACAAGTAACGAATAAAGTTTAAGACTCGTGATACTATAAGATAATAACATTATTGCTTAAAATATAATAGTTGTGTTATGTGCTTTACACACGTTATAATTTTCTGTAAATTCTTAATATAATCCTAACTAAAAAGGTTAATTGTAATAAGAAAATATTTTGAAGGGATTAACTGTTAAGTTTTGAAATCTAGTGGAGCAAAATGTAAATGAGTTATAGTTTAAGGGATTTATTGTAATGTACCCTTTTGAATATTTTATGTAACTCCATCTAACTTATTAAAATGCATGTAAAATATAATTTTAAAATTAATATAAGTTTAACTTTTATTTTTAGTTAAAAATATTTTTTTTATTATCTATTATTAGAATTAATCTAATAAAAAATAAATTTTTTATAAATTAAGAAAATTAAATTTAAGTTGAAGTCAAATATTCTAATGAATAATTTCTTTCATAAAACGTAGTTTTATTAAATTTAATTTGTGGAGAAAAATTTTAATCTTTAACACATTCGATATTTTTAGTTAATAGTAAATTTTTTTAAGACAAATTCACTTTATCCCATGTGGTTTGAGTTATGTGTGATTTATCCCTTAATGTTTGAAAATAATTACATAACCCTACATGGTTTGTAGATTGAAATGCACCGTTAAACATTCTGTCCAACTTAATAGCATGCGTGAAACACGTGACAGACATAAGGGTGTTATATACTCATTTTCAAATTTTAAGGGGTAAATCACAGATGAAATAAAGTATAGGGGTTAAATCACATATGGAATAAAGCACAAGAGTTGAAGTACACTTTGTCTTCCAAACAAATAACAAAAATATAGGAGTATTTTAGTCTTTTTCATTAAATCGTTAATAGACCTAACGGTGCATTTCACTTCACAAACCACAAGAGGGTTATGTTGTCATTTCTAAATATTATGCGGTAAACCGTACATGGTCCAAACAATAGAGGTAAAGTGAAATTTGTCTAAATTTTTATGATTAAGTTGTTAAAATCAAGTGTCATTTTTTATCTAATGGTCAGTACTGTTTGGTGCAACTTATTATAAATTAAAAGTTGATAATCTCCTTAGTTAGCTTCTAAAATAATTTTTTTTTTAAAAAACTTATTTAAGTTATTTTTATCTAATAAATTATAACAAAAATTACATCAAATAATCTAACACACGCTTTCAAAATAAAAATAAAAACTATAAACAAATAAATTACACCAAACCCCATAATGTAATATCATTTTGAAAAATAATAGGAATGCCAACAAAATTATCAAAAAATTTACTAAACCACTATATAAGTGTGGGATCCATAATCATATGAGATCGACAAGTGGTTTATAAATTTTTTTGATAAAAATTGAAGAAATTACATATAGATGAGAAGGGAATTTTTTTTTGTTAAAACATGGAGTACAAGTCATACTTAAAACCCTATAACCTTTCATTTTACCACTCATATTTTAATTTTCGACATTGCTACGGAGCTCAAATTTTATGGCTCAAAAGTGGCTCAAATGGTCAAAACGACGTCGTTTTGAGTACAGAATAACATAAAAATGGCTAAAATGATGTTGTTTTGGCTATTTAAGCCACTTTTGAGCCACAAAATTTGAGTTACGAGACATTTTCCTTTAATTTTTTTCTCAATTCCCACTGCTTGTAATTTTCTAAAAAAATTGTGGCAGCAAAACCACACGGCAGCTCAAGGTGAAGAGCATAGAAGGGGACCAAATGAAAATGTCCTGGTAGTCGGTCCAGGGGAAGTGGTAAATCTCTCTCACTTTCTACTTCAAAGCTCACACTCACAAACTGATAAAAAAAATCACCCAATTTCGTACCTTCCTCATCATCACAACCCTAGTTCTTCAACCAAACCCAATTCTAATTTGACCACCCCAAAATTCTTCATCTGTATCAACTCTCAACCTTAAATTCTATGCTTTTCAAACTCAAAAGTCTCGGGTTTAATTTGTATTGAAATGCACTGGTGATGAGTTCTTTCGCAGTTTCTCGGATTCGATTTTTGGTATGTTAATCTGAAGAAAAAAAATGAGGCGGAGAGCGGCGGATTTTCGGCGGCCGGTGCGGCGGAGATTCTCGAATGTGTTTTGGTTGACATTATGCGGATTGGTGGTTTTGTTGTTCATTGTTGTGTTGAGTCGGGAGAGCAGGCCGGAATCGAGATCGGGATTAACGAAGGTAATGATCTGTTCCTGCGTTTTTTGTGCTTAATTGAACATTTGTACTCTGTTTGGTAGCTGAGAAAATGCAGAAATGAAAGGACATTTGAATTATGAATCGTAGATCCCTAATTGGGAATCACTTAATTGAACATCTTCTTCTTTTTTTTTTGTTTTATTTTGTTTTGTTTTTTTGTTTTGTTTTGTTTATATATATATATATATATATAATTTTTGTTAATTTTTTATCAAACTAGTTTCTATTTAACAAAAAAAAAACCAGAAAACAAGTTGTGAAAACCTAACCAAATACATTGTGGATCTATTATGACATTATTGTGAAGAAGCAACTATTTTGTATCTGCTTTTATATCATTTATGATTCATTTAGTGCAGCTGCATTTCAAGCACCTGCTATATAGGTTGTCATCTTCAGAAATGCTTGTGTTTTTCACCTATAAATTATGATAGAGAAATTTTGTGGCTTCAAATTTGAGGGAAAAAATGAAATGAAAATTTTGGAGATCTAACAAGTTGTGAACACTAAGAATAAAGCAGAAGGATGTTTTGCAATAAAGAATGTATGATATGCTAATAGTTGGACAAAGGATAAGATACTGCGAGGAGAAGAGGATAATAGCATAATACTAGTGATCTTTTAGTTCAAAGGTGGAAGCAGTAAACATTGGATATGATAATATTTGAGAAAGTTTATGAGAAGTAGAAAATATAATATAGGCAATGAATTGAGGTATAATTTGCACAACAAAATACTAAAAAATTGTAGTGAGGTTAACTTAAAAGAAACCCTGTCATGATGAGTTTTTTTAACTTTAACTGGCAATGTTTGGAAACATAGGGGAGGTACATCAAGTGCATATATCTTGAGAATGGTAATTGGTAATATGTGATCTTAGAGTTTGCTGTACGGTTTGGCTTCCTTATAATTAATGTGCACATTAAAGAGGCATGGCTGAATAAAATATATATATTTTTCCTTATCATCTCAAAAGAGTATGATATATCCAGTTTCAAACGCATGGTGATGGAATCATGAATTTTGGAAGTTTGTTTGGGCAAGAAAAGAGAATATTTAAGAACTATGTGACAAGGATAACAATTTATTGAGATGTTGATATGTAAAGGCTAAAAGAGGCTTTTAGAAAGCAAAAAAGTGATACCAAGAGATGGAAGCAAAGATATTGTACTAATTGTCTCTTGAGTAATTGTGTTGAAAGACTACAAGCACTTAGACACAAATAAAGTTGAAATCTGTAGTGGGAAAATAGTAGCAACCCATATTCCAAAAGATGAGATTATTGTATGTGATTGGGCCCTAATCTTATAGTCAGTTTTTGGTTGAAAATATTTTGCTTATAAAAAATAAAAACACCTCAGAAAATGATAAATCAGTAAGCACAAGAGTAAACACCTATAAGGATGTAAACAATGAAGAACATGGGCAAAAGCCACAAAGAAGAGATCTCCAAGGCTAAATAGATATCAATAGATAGCAACAAAGATATTATTGTACTAATTGGCACCTAAGGCTGAGTAATTGTATTGAAAAACTACAAGCACTCAGACACAAAGAAAGTTGAAATCTGTAGTGGAAAAATAGTAGCAACTCCTATTCCAAAAGATGAGGGGTATGTTTGGTTTGTGTTTGAGAGATGTGTTTTAGAGATAAAAAGTACGAAAACATGTTTGGTTTAGTTTTTTTTAAAAGATGTTTTGAAAAATTATTTTGAGATAGAGTTTTGGAAAAAGTGATTGATTTGATATGGTTACCATGGAAAGCTCTAGAGAGAGAGGCTCAACTAGAAAGAAACCTCTTAACCTCTAATTCCTAAGTTTTCTAGTACTTTGGGGCAAAAAACATCGCCAAACTAGGTTGAAGTTGGCTCCTTGAGCAAAAACTTACCTAAATGAGAATGATGCAGCTCTTCCTGTAAGTAGCAACTACTAATTGGTGGCCACAAGCATGTAAGGGTGTTTATTGTTTAACATGTTGCTATTGGGTAAGTAGCATCTGCTAGATTGCTTCCTTTAGTAGAACATGGTTTCAATAACTTTTCTAGCTTGTTTTGATTTCATCCAAACTTGGGTTTCCACATTATTTATATGGTTGGAAAGCTTGAAAATGTACTTTGAAACCAAGTTTTTAATTGGTTATTGAATCCTTAATACTTGTTGAGTTATGACATTTTGCTCTCATTAAATAAACAGAAAAATAAAAAATTCACGAAACTTTCGTAACTTTTTCATTTTAAATTGGATCAACACCCATTTTATAAGCATTTAAAGCTATTTTATAGCACTAAAGGATGGTGGAAACCAAATTTGAAAAATAATAACTTTTTCACTTAAAATAATGACTAAAATCAAATCCTTCTAAGGGCCACCGGTGTTAGTTTGGTCATTATGCGCAATTTATCTTTTAACAATTTTTAGTCTAGAGATTCATTCCTAGGAATCAACTAAGGTCTACAACCATTCATAAAAGTTTGCTTGAGTTTGTGATCACTTCAAAGAATCTTAATTTTAGTCTCATTGTAATTTGAGCCTTTTGTGTTTTTGCCATCCAAAAGAAGGTGCCTTAGATTTATTTCAGGTCAAAATGGACCTTAGTTTCATATGGGTTTTGAAATTCCATGTACTCTCAAAGATAAGTCTCCTTTTTAATTAGGTAAAAATTCTTAGACATTAATTACAAATATAAAAGACATACATGTTTAGATTGCAATATGTGTTGTTTAGATATTGAAATAAAACGGGTTAATTACACGAACCGCCCTTGAGGCTTCTTATAACTGCAGACCTCCCTTGTAGTTTCCAAAATAACTTTGCCCTCCATTTTTTGACAATATACAAGAGCCTCCCTTTTGTTATGCAATCATTAGAGTTGTTAACTAAATCATATGATGTCATCAAGTTTGAGTTTCTAAACATCAAAAGTTCCCTTTTTCTAGCAATGCAAAGACAAAAATAGCATTTTTTATTCCACTGCCAAACACCCCCACCCCCATCATTGCCCTTGCATCCAAACACCACCTTTTTCATTGGATCAATTCTCTGCCAAACTCACAGACACCCCAAGAATTCTCTCTCTCAATTCTGTAATGAACTCAACAACCTACAAGAATTCTTTTGTTCTTTCAACAATGACCTAGCTCTTCATCAAATCCCATTTATTCTTAACCATGGTCATCAATATGCATCTAACCTTCTTGGTTTCTTGAACAAGCCGCTAACTTGTTTTGATTACCTTTTTCCTCTAAATCCACCACACATCGCAACAAATACACTCCTCTACCCCAAACTCATCACAACCCACAACCAAAATGGCTCACCAACTTTGAAAATAACAACTTGTTGGTTGGTGCAAGAAAAAAAAAAAAGGCTTTTACAATTTAAATATTTTAATAAAAAATTACAGCTAAATGCCTATAGAAATTGTTGGTGTGATTGAAGTGTTGCTAGTGGACGTCGATTCCTTTAGAAATTGCTGGTGCAAGTGCACTTAAAGCGTTGTTGGTGGGCATTGATGGTCATAGTTGTTGGAGAAAATGGGTTTTTGGCGACTTTGGTTCTAACTTTGGTTCTAAATTTTTTGTAATAAGATCTTTACACCACAAAAGGAATGACCAAAAACTATTGAGGATTGAATGAGAAATTGTCTCATAAAGTTGGTCTCATAAATGAGAGATTGAGAATGATGATTGAGCATTTTGCACATGGTCTAACCATAAGAGACACATGGCTTTAATAGTATCTTAGACCATGAGAAATACATGTCCTTAATAGTGTCTTAGACCATGAGACACACATGGCCTAACCATGTGGTACACATGGTATTGAAAGCCATGAGGTACACACGGCCTTGCCTTATATGTCTTGCCAAAGATGCCTATATAAGGGCATGCTAAACATTGTGAAGAAAATAAGCTAAGTTCTCTCCTCCTCTTTTTCCCATTGTGTATAAAAGGAAACCATCCTCTTTGGTTGGAGTACAAAAATTTTTGCTCATATATTATAGTCAGTCTGCTCCTATAATATATTCTTTCTATGTGAGAAAGTGCTGCTATTGTCAGTTTGCCAAAGCTAAGCAGAAGGTGCTTCTGCGTTAGTGGGTTCTAAACCGTCGTATCCTGGGAGATGGATGCTGACATGCCTCCAACACCCACGATTAGAGGTGAGCATGGTCCGGATTAGACCGGATTGGGATAAAACCTGGACCGGATTGGGATAAAAGCAGAACCAACCTGTTATCTACGGTTCTTGAAAAATTAGAACCAATCCAATCCGCTTAAATCGTGGAACCAATCCATTTAAACACGGATTGGATTGGTTTAAGATCACGGATTCACATAATTAAATAACAAAAGATATATATATATATAACACTTTAATTTCATAAAAATATAAACATAGCACTATATTAGTTTCACAATAGTAACATGTCTTTCCATAATAGTGATATACTGTTCTAGAATTTAAACAACCATAAGAAAATTGGTTCCACCATAAGTATTTAGACCATTACAAATCAAAACTAAAAACTAACAAACAAAAGTAATAAAAGAACATACTATGCGGGTTTAGGATTGTATTTAGGTTTTATATGGAATAAGAGAAGATACTATGGAGGAGGGTGTATAATAAAAATATAGATTATTTGTATACGATTCGGATCGGTTCCAATCTGGAACCAATCCGTAGACTACAGATTTTTAATTCTTCAATACGGAACCGAACCAGGGATTCAAAAAATCAATCCAAACCTACAGGATTGGATTGGATTGGATCGAATTACGGATTTCACAGATTCCTTGTTCAGCCCTACCCAGGGTGAGGCGGCGAATCTGTTTTAAGGAGACTATAGTATCACATAGGCTTTGGTTTGTTTCTTTTCCTCTTTTCAATGTTTGATTTGTTATATGTATTTCGATTCATCATGTTCTAATCTCTAGTATATTTTAGTTTCATGATTTCATATTCTGTTATTTAATTTATTAA